AGAATTTTCAAAGAAAAAGAGCGTATACAAAATCAAAAATTTACATTTTACTTTGTATCAAATGTATATTAACCGATTTCTGGAAAAGAACTTCCCTATCATATTGCTACGTTCATGCAGAGTTTCGGCACTATACACCAATTCGTTAGGGAGTTAATGGTATGGAGCAAAAGGTATGTCTTTAGTGCATGGTAGCTCTTTTGAGACTCTGACTTTCTTAACAGACTCTGACTTTCTTAACTCGAAATCGAATCATAGAATTTGCTTTAAATTTCTTGTCCATAAAGCCAAAACCCCTCTAGTGTTTTCGCATCTCTCTGTTTTTGAATTGATTATTTACAATGGACGCAATAATTTTTTTAAAAACGTACATTTTGCATCACCGATTTCGCCATTACATCGCAATCTATGCAAGGGTATTTGTTGACGTACGCTATTGTTTAATTGGACAATAAGGGGATTAAAGGTTTCATATACATCATCGTTTTTACCATAGCTCTATCATTTCTAACATTTTTATTGAGCGGAATCCCATTCAATATACCATAACACATGATGAAATGCCATTGTTTCATTACGCATATAAAGTGTGTTGATATACACAATCGTCCAATCGTCCAATCGACCGTTTTTTGCGCTCTTTTTGTTGGGGCGTGGTTTTGCTTTTTTGCAGCGCGTGCTTTTTCGACATCGTGTACGTCTAAATTTAATTTTTTTAATTTATTAGCTTTGCCCCTAGTATGGGCAGGGACACCGCAACAGCATGAGCCAATTACTGCGGAACCTGTACTCTCACACTCACTACCTCTACATTAAGTATTTTAGCACACAACACTCCTCACATGTTGATTTTTACTGAGGGAGGAAAACCGGAGTACCCTGAGAAAAACCCTCGTGAAAAGGGAGAGAACAACACATCAAACAATTTCAAACTCACATATGGTCCGTGTCCGGGAATCGAACCCGGGCCACAGCGGTGAGAGGCCAGTAGCTTAACCACTAGGCCACCCATGCCACCCAAAATAAAATATATAAAATAATATCCATTTATCTTTTAAATATATCTTTTAAATATTTATCGTTATAGAAATAGAATTTTATCTTAAAAATGAAATAACAAATAATTTTTTCTTTAATACCACGAGACTCCCCTTCCTTAAAAAAATAATTGGTCTGTGTTCTATACGGGTTCTCCATTGCATGCGAATTCTACCTCCTCATTTGCATATTCGAGATCACGTGAGATAGCGCATGCGTACTGAAGATCATTCTGCGTACGTTTACTGAAGATCGAAGACGTTCTCACGGTTTCTGGAAGTTTTTTCGACTATTTAGTAACTAAAAAATCCTAAATCCGAGTACTGGTTAAATAGATTTAAATATAAGTCCAAGCGACGTTCAAGTCCAAAGTATCTTAGGAGGAGCCATTGCAAATCCTTTTTCTTAGCTCTTGTTTCGTCTAAGCTTTGAGGCATCTAAAACTAGGTCCACGTATTCCAATAGAGTTAAAGCGTTTGTTGTTTTTCATTGGTACAAACAACTGTCGTAGTTCATCTGTTATGGTCGTTATGTAACAGGTCAGTTTTCATTTACTAGCTTTGACCTTACAGCAAGAGCCGTGCTATAACGGTGCAGACGGTGACTGGGGTTTTTCGTGTAATGTCGTGAGAGCGACTGTTTATGTCGATTGGAAGCGGCTCAAAACAAAATGAAAAAAGCTCGACTAAATTCCCTTCTGAAAAACACATGTGTATTTAAGGTGGAAAATGTTTCATATGAGCATTAAATTCTTAAAGGTTTAATTCTATAATCATTTTGTTTAGTTATGTAAATAAATTTAACACGACTTGTACTGTTTGTCTGAGTGAAAGGCGAGCTACGGGTTTTTCCTTTTCTTTATTTACACTTTCAAATATGACCGCTTAACAAAAATGCACGGGCTGGCTCGATATTCCTAGTGTTTTAACGTCGTTGCAGCAAGACGTTAGAATTGAAAGAATATCGTAGTGTGTGAATAAACAATTAGAATTTCGAACAGTACATATCATTAATGTGAAAGAAACGCATTCTTGATTTCACTATGTATTTGAAGTAAAAAAGGCATTCTACGCCATAAATTATTACATTCATATACAATCATATGATAGACAGAATATTACATCATCTGAATTCTATATAGGTGAAACTGATAGATCCTTAGCTTTCGGTTGAAAGAGCAGGCATATCGAGCTGATCAACCTATGCATAAACATCTTAGTAATTGCTCTCTTTTCAATGATTTAGTAAGTCTCAATGGATTAACGTTTTGATTTCCCGATCGTCGTGGACTTTAAGCAATATAGTTTTAATGCTGTTCACAACAACGTGGAAATTGTTGTCTCTAGTAATAACTTGTTACAATTGTTATCACTTGAGGCATACTATATTAAAAATACCAAAGCTACTATAAACGAAGGATTTAAAGCCTCCCGGGAATTAGAATTGTTCTAGTTATTGTATATAAACTCCATGACCACTTGTAACTTTAGCWTGATTATGATTTTGAAATAAAATCGAAATATCTCTGTTATTACGATCTTCTGTACATAATTCAAACGTTGAATTTGCACAGTATGTTCTCCATCCTTAGTTTATCACTCGTCTTACTATATTACATCATAATCTAATCGTGTTTTTCTCGTTCGCCTATACGCGCACATTTTCGCATACGTAATATCCTGTATTAATTTTCAAAAATTTTCACAAATAGATAGCCCGACCTCACGCTCTAAGAGCGTCTAATTGTTTTTAAGATGGTTCTTTGATATTGGTAAAAAGAACAATTTAGCACTACAAATGATGGGTGCGCATAAGTTTCGTTCTGACCATCCTCACAAAATATATCAAAGCGGAATATAAAACTGGAAACAATTCTCTCTCTTTATAAAGTAATATTGAGTATTTTTCTGTGGCGATTGCTAAAGATCACTAACACTCGTCGTCCGATACTTTAACTTTTGTTTCTACCATGAAACAAGTAATGATACATTTGGGGTATGTTTGCCGTCTGAGCAACTCCCAATTACAGAAAAAGGTTACAGAAGAAGGTCTAAGATATATATGGACTAAAATGGAAGGAACTCTTTGTGTGGACACTTTTTGAGATAACGAGAAATGTGATGAAAAAAAAACTAATGAAACTGTTACGAATGCTGCATATTTTCCACACAACCATTAATTTTCTGAGCCTTGAAGTGGGTCGATAATTGGATTAAAGTAAAGATAAAGTAAATACATGCTTTGCGTGCGAGTTAGCTATTGTGAGACAGGCTGAGATAATGTGAGACATTGGGTTATGTCCCACACGCGTAACTTGAAGAAACTAAGACTCATATGCCTTAGGCTATACGTCGAACTTTACATAACTACTAGTTAATACGAAAATTATTAATTATAATTACACTTTATACATCATGCAGGCGTAGCCTGGGTATGTGTAATTATATATTTTCGTACTGAGAAGTCTTTAATTTTTACGAGCATTTTGTACTATAACGCAACTTGTGTTCAAAACACAAAATCGGTTGATTTTTCATAAAACAAAACCTGTGATGAGTTTTTTTCCTATTTTTCCCTTGAACAGTTCCTTTGAGTCTATGTCTTTATTTTTTCCGCTTTTGGTCGATTTTTACGGCCGCTCATAGAAATGCCAGCATGCACAACGTTAACTTTGAATAATTAATCTTCATGATTTTTTGTATAGATCACACGTCCAGGAGAATATTCCATTGGCGCTGCTTGCAGTSRTGGCTGTGAAGTATGGTGGAAGAGAATACAAGAACCAGGCCTTGATGATTATGGGACATCTGGAGATATGATTATTAAACTAGCATCAACCASTCGACCAAATAAGTACGAAAGGTAAAAATAGTGAATTCGTTACAAGACCGTACATCAGTCTGTAGAAACTGAATATACTTCCTGAGGTTAGCTTTTACGGTCTTGAATGCTTGTTTCCTATAATTATGCATTTCTCCATGAAATTACATGAAAACATCCTTACTAGTAGTGTGCTCAAGTAAGGCCATTAGTGAACAACCTGCACTCAAACACTAAAATGAAAATGCAACCTATAAATCGATAAAACTGTGCTAGTCAGATTGTTTGGATAATTATTTAGCAATCAACCTGTTCAATATAATGATATTTCTTTGCCAAGCGCTATTTATATAAAAACTTTAGATAGGAGTTTGGTTTGCGTATTTGACATTTTATGAATACCCTAACGATGAAATTACGGAATTATCTTTTTATTGTTGTCTCGGATTTTTTTAAATGATAAATTGCATTGAGATCTTTTCTAACCTCTATTTACTCACACCACTTAATTCTCAGTCAAAATTTCAATTCTAGAAGTCCAAATCGTCCGCTCCTTACCAGCGGAAGCTTGCCGTTGTATCGCGGCTTCGAAGTTCTAAAACAAATCGTTGGGTTTTGAGTTTTTCTGCTATAAACAAGTAACGCGGAAATTTCATTTTAATGATTTGCATTTAAAATTAACGAGCAAATTTTTGTGACGAAGGCCTTCTGGGAAGGCTTCGTCACTATGTCATCGGGTCTGAGGGAAAGAAAGAGTTGTAACCATTCCAATTGAAGCAGGCGTTCCTAGCAGTTATTTAAACACGTGATTGTTGTCCTGACCGTGTGCGTTCTCTAGCGACTTGTTCGTGCCTTCGAAGGTGAGTTGTTGTATCACAATACAATGTATTCAAACTATTTTGTGTCTAGAACTAGACACAAATTTCTATCCATTTGCAGTCAAATTTGTATTTCTAAAAACATATTTCAGATTTTGGGGCGCTTTATGTGTTTTGTTTGCTAACAAAAGTCCGATTGCTTCGCTTGGCTTTAATATTACACAAGACCTCAGTGCAGGCGTCGTTCTTCAATTCCATTAGGGGAACAAATAAACCCAGAAATGGCGTTCCAAATCTCCTTTCGGCAGACTCAAACTTCCCTTCAGGGAACAAGTAGTCACAGCAAGCTATACACCCTTTTAATAAGTCCCGAGGTATTGTGTTCTCCGCACTTGACGTCAAATTTATTCTTTTGAAATTTTTACAATACAAAAGGAATTCAAAAGAATAAATTTGACGTCAAGTGCGGAGAACACAAAACCTCGGGACTTATTAAAAGGGTGTATAGTCTAGCTCGCTTAGTCGTTTATTAATATTTAACTGAGCTTTTGTATTATTCAATGCTAGAGTAAAAACACTAAAAGAGTCAAAAGAATTAGCATATTTTAGCAGTATTTAGTGGTATACATGTTGCACATTTCCCTTCCTTTCTTGTGTCATCCATCTGTTGACGGTGAAACGTTAGTAAACATTTATCTACATAACTGACATTGCTCATTAATATAGAGTAGAGTGATCGATCGCACTTAATCCGTGCAACTGTACAAACTAAATAGTGATGTTTAGGTGTATTTAGAAAATCGTGCATGCGATACGCAAATTAAATTCGCTGTGTCTATATGGCCGGTTGCCGGTCAATTGGTCTTGAAAATGCTAAATGGCCGGCAGCCCATARAATGTGTTTTTTYCCTCTCTTATTATCTAAACGAGCTTCCAAACTCCAAAATAAAACTCTACGAGTAAAATGAGTGTGGTAAACCTTACATTAACGTCGCGTCGAAATTCGATGCAAGTTAGAGACATTGTGCGAACAATGAAAACAACAACGAAATCCTAAATGGCCGGCAGCTCATAAAATAACAGATTTCTCTTTTATTATTCTTATTTAAAGAGTTAAAACAACATAATCAACATTTCTGAAATTTTCATGGTACTGTAGTACGTCGTACTTCGTCTCGGGTTTGCATAACCGTCTCGAATTCTCCCAACCTACCCTCGTGTTTGCATCAGGCTATGTAAACACGGAAAAAGTTATCTATTGCTTTTATAAAATAACTCTTTTTTCTAAAATATGGCCTTACAAACTTTAGAATTCCAGTATAATTTTTATGATCAAAACTAGGTTTCTCCTTACCTCAAACATTTCAATGGCTTTTTCAACCAGCCAATTACAGTTCACGTTTTAACGAAAGGCGAAGTTGGCGGGTTTGACAAAATGTGAAAAAATGGCGGATGACGGCATAGGCTACCCAACTATTGCTTGAGAGAAAGAAAAGAATGAATGCGCACGCTTATATTATCGTATCGAATTAGCGCGCGACGCGGGTTTCCTGTGGTATTACGTCATTGATCCCTTGACTCGTGGGCATGTTATCGAATCGGCGCGCGCTGCGGGTTACTTACGGCACGATCCCGCGCCTCGCGGGATACAAACTAGTCTGTGACAAGGTATGAAACACTGGTCACGTGACAAATATAATTTTGCTCCTTTTTCAACAAAAAACAGCAGAAAACGACGATTTTCTTTCAAATAACAACACATCGTCAGATTGTCTAACTACCTCACGAWWTTCRGTATGAAATAYTTATTACATGACGAGAAAATGAACATTAAGCATTTCACTCGCCGTGGACCGATGTGTGCCCCAGGTAGCTTGTCTATCCCTCCCACCCATTTTCATTCGGATAGACTTCGAGAGCTTTCGGAAAACATTCGTGAGTTTCTCGAGGTAAAAATGAAAGTCAAGGATAAATTAATTTTCTTAAAAAAAAGGAAAAGAAAACACGCTGGAAAAATGTAATATAAACAAAAACAAATTAAAAAGTTATAAAATATGGAGGTCTTCAAGATTCAGAAAAAGAAACATTAGTAAAAACATGACAAATATGAGCTAATAAAATTAAAAATCTAATCCAGTTAACAGTATGTTCATATTGATAATATTGAAAAGCTTTATTACAGTTTCAAAGTACAAATATACATGATTTTGAACAGTGTTGATCTCAATCACCTTAGCTTCAGTAAAAAACCAAAGTTGTACATGCAATCTTGATGGTTGTTGAGTGCATACAATTCATTTTACCAGATTTTTAACGAAGCGTTTTCAAGTTTTCAAGCATCTAAAATTATTAGACGACATTATACATTATCAAAATAGACGAATTCTTCCTCATAAATAGCTAAACCAAGCGGTAGGCTTACTGCTCACTCGAGTTTTCCGGCTTTGACATCACAAATAATTTTTTCCGTGGGTTTACACTAACAAAAAAAATCTGGCTAAAACTATCATTACATGTAAAGATATATCTCTTTTCCAACTACTCACTCCATCAGCTTGATTCCTGCTCATAAACATAGTTAATCTATGTCACAAACAAACAACTCTAAGACCTGTAAAAATCCACGACGTCTAGATCTGCTTCATCGGTTTTCAAGGTGACTCAAGTGTTTTCTCTTAAAGTAATTACTCCTTACTATGCACGCAGTCCCATCTCTTGCACGAAGCAGTCAAGCTCAAAACATTGATATGTAGGTTTCCAACCAAAACTACAAAGAAACCCGAGCAAAAAAGATCAAGCAAGTTTATGGCAGTGAATATATGGCAGCGACGGAGCGACGAAARGGAGCGACATTATCGGTCGACCATCGGAGAAATGTCGAGCGATACGACTGTTTACGAAAGCTCTCGAAGTCCATACGAAAAAAAACGATAGGGAGGGATAGACAAGCTACCTGGGGCGCACATCGGTCCATCACGTGACCAGTGTTTCATACCTTGTCACAGACTTGTTTGAAAAGTTTTTTTTTTTAATATTTTATTCAACGATCAAAAACAATGTCTTTTAGTTGAATAGCTACTGTATGCTAAATGTATGCCGAATAAAATTGTATAAAATGTTAAGTAAAATTTAGTACTTGCATTATCTATCCATCCACCTTGAAGTTTGGTTAGTACTTCATGTAAGCAGCTGGCTGATTCATTCGATCCGACGG